TAACAATTGACGTAATAAGGAAGAGTATACAAATTGAACAGACAAAATGAAAAAAATGAAAAATTGGAAGAGCCAAAATATGATTGGGGATAACAATACTTTAGCATAGAGGGATTAAGACCATGAAAGTTGGAGGGATTGGACGAACTTTTTCTGTACAAAGAGATCTGGCTTTTCTGTTTCGATAGCCAAAGCTTCAGCAATACAGATGAGTAGAGTATATAGGGATTTGGGTAAATTACTCATTGCCTTGTAGATGACTTTAAAGGCGGAGGCTATAGAGATAGGGTGATCATTATCGACCAAATGTTCAATGATTGCGCTTCTTATTGCTCCACTTCCAACTCTTCGTAATCATGCAGGATAGTGCCACTTAATAACTTTTTCTGTAATATAAATACGACTGTACAGCTTGAAAAGGAAGTCGTTGAGAAGAAATTTCTTCGCTGAACAAAAACTGTGTTTTTACTTATAAGCAAACTGTAACTCTAGTTGCTCGTGGAACATCATATATCGAAGTGCATGTTGTGCTTGGCTTTCACAGCACTAAGGATAAGCAGAAACACCACGAGAAGGTCTATCATAAATTGAGCAGCACAGTTCACTCATCGTTATACTCTTGTAACACTATAAAGAATACTATATTTCATCCTTAACATTTAGTGCCATGCAAAGCAGCATTAAATGTTAATCTCAAAATTTGTCGGGACTCATCATTTCTTCATTTCCTCCAAATATTGAAATATTTGACGTATTTTTTTCTATTTCGGTTTGTTTCAATTTTTGTCCTTTTAATGAAATTTTTTCGGTTTTGACTCTTGCTATGAGTTTGTCGATAATAAGTTAGTGTACCAAAATGCGCTGCTCTACGCCTGTGAAACCTGGCCTCTCCGAGCTGAGGATGTGTGGCGACTCTGTGTGTTCGATCACCGCTGTTTCCTCAGGATTGCTTGCGTTCGATGGCATCATCGCGTGAGTAATTCTGAGGTTCGGCGGCGTATGTTTGAACACAGTGGGGATCACCATTCATTGATTGTCGTCATCTGGAAACACCGGCTCCGGTGGCTTAGACATATGCTGCGAATGTCACCCCAGAGGCTTCCGTACAGGTTTCTGTTCGCTAGCCCTGGGACGGGATGGAAAAGGCGGAGAGGTGGTCAGTCCATGACGTGGTGTCGTGGGATGTAGGATTTTTGTGCTAGATTAGCATCGGTTGGTGTGTCACGACTCCCTGGTTGGGGTTCGAGAGATAGCTCAAATCGATGGCTCAAAACGTTATCGGATATGGCCAAGAATCGTAATCAATGGCGAATGTGTTGCAATTTCATTCTTTCTTCCCTTCCCGATGATAGTTAATGAACACTGTTTTAACTTGTTAAACATGAATGTCTTCCTTCCAGATGAAGTTCTTTATCCGTTCTTTACTTATATATATATATATATATATATATATATATATATATATATATATATATATATATATATATATATTCTTTTCCTTTTTTTCTTTTTGACCTATGTTGTTTTATTATTATTGTGTAGCGCATCCTTCTTGGTGCCATATTGTACCAAGTTTTTTTATGCGTTTAAATGAATAAATAAATAATATTAAAGACTCTTAAATGCCCCATAAACAGCTTTGTACGACCGAAGGTGGGTAGACTTCAGTCTGCTAGTTAAGTACTATTTTCTGCCCTCACGTAGTGAGTGGGAGTGATCTTCACAAGACTGAAAGGGCGAACGCGAACATCTGGCCCTTACAACCGGACGGATGGACATGTTACTTTATCTAGGGAAACTGAGAAACCTCGACTGTGAACCTACATAGCGTACATGGGTTCCAGAATCCCCTGTTTGAGCACTGGCAACCATAGGAATGCAGCTGCTGGTGCTGCGTCACTGCCTTGTGGATAAATCTCCAAGTCAAAGACTCGGAAGGTGGACCCTTACGACAACAGCCTGCTTCAGTCTGGAAGTCTTGGCAGTATCTCAGCTCCCGCACAAATTGAGACTTTGTGTGTCGCATAATGTCCATAAAATCAACTGGAAATACGAAGTCGAAGAATTATCTATCTTTAGAATATGGGAACTTGACAAATACTCGTGTAATTTACTTGATGAATCTTCATTTTCACAAAAAATTGCTCCTTGTAAACTCAATCATTTTGTTGTTGTTGTTGTTGGCATTCATAGTTGCTATTTCGTATGACCAAAAAGCATGCCTAAATAAAACAGCATAGTTTGAAAGTTAATTTAGCATTAAGATGATGAGTTTTTAAATGAATTATGTATTCATTACAAATTATTTAAATTAATCCCAGCGTGTTAAGAAAATCAAAACAAGATTTCTCTGAACGTTTCGCTATGTAAACCACAGCTTCTTCAGCATAGAGAATCATTCAGATTTTTATTAATAATCAAAATATATAGTCAAAATTTTTTTCTACATAAATTGAAGTCAGTTTCTTTGATGGTCATTTGTCCATGGACATTTTTACCAATAGGAAAATTTGAATAAGGCATCAAGAAGACAAATTTCGCGAGATATCATATGTAAGCAGTCATCACGTATATTTGTAATGACTAATTTTCAAATTGTTGTTGTGTTCACTCTAGTTGATATGTAAGGATTAGTTTTGTATGAGTTTGTGAGTGTATGTTATCTGTCATGTGGAAAAGACGTCAATTCACATGTGATAAACATGATAATACATTTTTTAAACGTCACGGAGGTTCATAGGGGTTTTGTTGTTTTTCTTTTGTCTTGCTTCATTAGAGTTTGCCGTATAGGTGATAAGTCTATCCCTTCTCTCCTTCCTATTCACTGCATTCGATGTCGTTAAGATGTGCAAGGCTTCAAAGGTTAACCTTTCTTTATGTGTTGAATGAAATCCTCTTCGAAGAATTTCAACATTGTCGAAATCCATCTTATGTCCGCTGTTCATAGATACCATGCATTGCTATAGGCGATATTTTCTCTAGACTTTTTAATTCTACTTCATTTCTAGGTGGGAGCGTTTCGCGCATAGTCTATGTTCATTCACTCTGACCTTCACCTGTCTACTGCTCTCCCCTATGTAGATAGCATGCTTCACATTCTGAACATTTCATCCAATAGACACAGTTGCTTTGTGATATTTTTGGAACCATATTCTTGACATTCACTAAAGCTTTCTGTAGAGAAATATACTTTAATATTATTTGAAGCAAGTAGTCTTTGAAGCTATTCAGTTGTCTCCTTTCGATATGGAATGGCTATCGTCGATAGCCAAGATTCTCGAATTTTCTGTTTTCCCTTCTGCTCCTTTCTGTTGGTAATATTATCTAGTAGCTTTTCAGGATAATCATTTCCAATCAAAATCTGTCTTAATATTGGATATCTCGTTCTCCATATCGTCATTATCTGTGATAATCTTTCTAGCTCTGTTAACGAGATTTAAAGCTACTGAAACTTTCATTCCTATTGGACGATCTGATTGGAAATTCAAATACTTGTTGGAATGTGTCGGTTTTTTGTATATTGTAAACTTTAGTTTCTCGTCATATTGTCTTTTAACATGACATTCAAGAAAGTTTAGAGTTCCCTTAGCCGATACTATTTCATTAGTAAACTCAATATATTCTGAGATTAAGTCAATTTCTGTTAGAAAGTTTTCTTTTTCAGCTGTCTTGATGATGATAATTGTGTCATCTACATATCTGTACCATATTCTAGGATGACAACTAAAACTTGTCATTGCTTTCTTTCCTAAGGCTTTCATATATTTCATTTGACTAACTGAGATCAGAGGGCTAGTTTCGCATACGCCAGTTTACACCGTTTCTGGCTTAGTAGACGTGATATCCGACTATCGACCAAAGGGCGGGTGTACTTCCCAGCAGTCCACCCCATCCTCCTTTTCGGTTGTGAGTGAGACCTGGTCATTGAGAGTGGAAGACATGAAAAGTTTAGCTGTCTTTGATCACAGGTGCTTGTGTTCTACCTCCCGTGTGAAGTGGTATAATAAGGTGAGCAATATTGATGTTAGACATCTGTCGAGTGCTAGGTAAACAGGGGAAATCAATCGACGAAGTTGTGAAGTTACAAAGACTGAGATGGTTAGGACATATGTCACGTAGGCCGAGTCATCGCCTTCCTCGACTGACAGACAATGTTAGCTGACATAGGGTCAGGCTGGAAAAGAGCTAGTGGCGGTCAAACCAAACCATGGCGCCAGTCAATGAAATCCACAACAGTTAGTTTAAGCCACGTAGGAAGGTGTAGACTTCCTGACTGGTTGGGGTCCTCGGGACGGTAAAAACCAATGGTTGGAAACAATTGGTGATATAGCTCAAAGTGATCGTTCTCAATGGCTTGCACAGATGCATCCACTCCTTGTAACTTATGATTTCCAATGAAACTATATTGTTCTTCGTTGTTACTACTCCTTGCTCTCACACCTGTTTACTGTCTCTATTATGCATTTCTTCTACTTTTCTCTCTTGCTTTGTGTACTACAAGGAGGGAGTGTGGCGACTCGAACTGTCACACATCGGTGCAAAGTTCTATGTCTAAAACAGACAGGCAGACGTTGAAACCAGTCAGTGAGTCTCTACGCGACGCAAAACAATCGCCAATGGCTTCATGGATTAATGACATTTTTGAGTTAGGCCAGTGCCTATTTTCCAACCTAATCACCTTGTGTTAGCTAACACTGATATAAGATTCATTTATTGCTGTATAAAAATATCATTTTTGACTAAACAAAAAAAAACAACTCAAATAAATATTTTAGAATTCAAGGACCATTGGATTGGGTCCCAGTGGCTCAACGGTCTACGAGCTCGCCTTGTAACCAGAAGGTCCTGGGTTCGAATCCCGGTGGGTGCGTACTGCTGAAGAGTCCCAAACTAGGACGAAACGGCTGTCCAGTACTCCCAGGTTTTCCAGTGGTTCTCTAACTGATGTCAGCTCATGATTAAATCCTCCATGCAAATATTTTTTTTCTTTTTCTTTTCAGAATGAGTCTTTGGCTTCAAGTCTCATTACTGGTGTTATGCTCTGTGATTTTTGTCTCATCACTTCCTACATCTTTACGAAAACAAGAATTTGGACCTAGTGAAAAGTGAGTACACATTAAATCGATACTATGAAACATTGTTGCGAATTGAGAGAAGTTGCAATTTATGGGCTATTGGATCGGGCCCTAATGGCCTAATGGTCTACGAGCTCTCCTTGTAACCGGAAGGTCCTGGGTTCAAACCCCTGTGGTGGGTGCATACTGATGAAGAGTCCGAAGCACTGGGACAAAACAGTTGTCCAGCACTTCCAGGTTTTTAAGTGGTTCTATAACCGACGTCAGCTCATAATGAAATCCTGTAACCAGTCAATCAAAATCCCTACAAACCAATATTTGGAAAACATTATTTTTATATTTACTACTTGTATTGAGTACTTATTTTATTCCAATACGTTCCCAGTGGAACACAGGGGGCTTCAAGCTAGAGGCTTTATGTAGCAGTGGTGTTTTTAGTTTTACGGGATTTGGTTGCTAGCCTGCCTCATGCCCAACCTTCTCGAACCTCGGGTATTGAGTACTTAATCGAGTTCAATTCATTCTTGTCAATTTTGAATTCATGTAGTTTATTACCTATACTTATGTAGCTTAGTGATTAGTGCACAAATTATCGATTATATGATAAATTTGAACTTGTTGGCGCCTTTGAAATATACGGATTCAGCTAATATCGTTCATCTAAACGCTTCGGTTGTCTTAAGAATCATCGATTTTTCACCTTTTTCATTTTAATATGATCTATTTAGGAGAAATGTAAACGTTGTCTAATAGCCTGATGGCTTGTGAAGGCCATTCAGTTGTTGCTAACTAAATCGATAAAAAAGAATCGAATGTCGATATGTCTACACAACCCCCCCCCACATCTACTAACTTTCAATCTTTCCTAACCCGCTACGCCTAACCTCACCGTTGCTCACTATATCATACCATCTAACATAGGGAGATGACTAACTCCTGCATGACCATATTTTACAGTCATAGGTGAGGTCAGAGCAAACTGCTATGTAGTACTCACATCCTTTAGTCGACAGCTATTTAGATATCACGTCTACTAAGCCAGAGATGTCGTTAGCTGGCTAATGCAATAGCAACCTTTTATGTTAGTGTTGAGATTTCCTTAGCAATGGGCCATTAAAGTTGATACAACTCCCCAATTAAGTGAAGAGTTGTTAACACACTCTACCTCTTCGCTCCTTATCTTAAGGCTAGGAGTTGGTGTAGTCCAGTCCCACAGGATTGTCTTACCTTTGACGACAGTGAATCGTATATCAAACATTCGAAAATTGTTGCTCAAGGTGTTCAAATGACTCTAGATTTTCTCAGCGTCTTCACCTAGGATGGAGGACTACATCATCTGCATGTTCTAAGTCAACGAGATTATTCCTTGGTGGTAACAAGTCAATCCCTGAGTCGCTGAAGTCAGTTAGGGTTGATTCCATTAGTACACCTATGATGAAATTAAACAGAAATGAGGATAGTGGGCAGGGCATCTGTGACGGACACCACTGGTTGTCATCACTTCACAGATGACAACTGTCTACAAGCTCTTAAATGGCTACATGAGATCTAGTAGAGTGCATTGATTACTGCAACATACTTTCTTGGTGCTGCATGGCTGAAAATCCCCACAGCACCTCTTGGTCGACTGAGCCTTCATGTTAAGAAACTTATTAAGTGCTGGACGGCGGTAAGTTGACCTATGTTCCAGATTCTATCGACCACCGAGATATGAACAATGTGCCCTCTTCCTGGCTTAAAACCTGCCTGCTCTCCTCAGGTTTGTTTATCCTGAGCACCTATGATTATTAAATCTAAAACTTTAGATACCATATTAGGTAAGCTTACCTCCTTATGATTATTACAGAAAGACTTGTCTCCCATTTTATAAACTGGAATAATCAAGGATTTGCAACAGCGGAACAGAAATGCCTCTGATCCTGAGACATTGGCATTTGTTCGCAGTCATTGCAGAGACTTTTCGTCTGGTTGTGTTTAAGCCCATTTCGTTCCTCAGCAGATTCGGAACCCCTCTAGATCATTCTTCTTGCGTCAGAAAGTTCAAATGAAGCAATAGAAATCCACTGGCATTTACTAACTTTTGTTTTTAGCTTACCAACAACAACACTTACGACTGTTTCTATAGTTTTTTTTTACTTCACGTTCTTCAGTGGAACATAGGGCTTCAAGCTAGAGGCTTGAAGTTTCTGTAGTAGTGGTGTTTATTTTTACAGGATGGGGTTGCTAGCCTCATGCCCAACCTTTCCTCTTTACCAGAATTATTTCTGGCTTAGCGAGGTAAAGGAGTGCATCGGTGGCCGGGGATCGAACCCCGGACCATGTAGATGGTCGGCGAGTATCCTAACCTCTATGACACCGACGCCAAAAGCGCTCACGCGCCGGGAGTCGAACCCGGGCCGGCTGGGTGAAAACCAGGAATCCTAACCGCTAGACCACGCGGGACCTGTTTTTCTATAGCTGACTATATATTTTACCAGACTTCCTCAGAATCAGTCTTGGTGTCAGTCTCAGATACGGGTGTAGAGCTACTTCTTCATTATTGACTTTAAGAATAAAGAGTGGTTTCTTTGTGTTCATAATGGATTATAAGGCTTCAGACTCAAGCTTTGAAGTGTCGATAGTAGTAGTCATTTCATTTTCACGCGGTCGGGTTGCTAGCCTCACCCTCAACCTTCCCTCTTTATTGACCTTATTGCCGGCTTAGTGAGGTTTGGGACCAGACCACGTGTGTGACTAGCGAGCGTTCTACTGCTGAACCACCGACACTCCTTGATGACTAGTTTGTGTTTATTCTGTAATTGTATAAAGGAGGGTAATGGAGCACTAACCATTTCACGTACCTAAAGAAAGTCACCTGTAGGTAGGCTAGTGGCCCTCATCAACTTAAATCACTTGTGGTGTATTCAGTCAGATGGCGTACTACTGCCTTGCAGTTCATTCTGTCCTACTGTATTACCTTGAAGCATAATCACTGATTGATATCAGTTAGAGAACCATTGAAAACCAGGCAGTAATGGACAGCCAGCTGTTTCATCCTAGTTTTGGGAATCATCGGCAGTGCGTATCCACTGGGGTACGACAGGACCCAGGACATCCCGGTTACAACTGACGAATATGTAGAAGTTAGAATTCATGAGCCATTGAATCGGTTCCCGGTGGCTGAATGGCATATGAGCTCGCCTTGTAACCAGAAGGTCCTGGATTCGTACCCCAGCGGGTACGTACTACCGATGATTCCCAAACTAGGATGAAACAGCTGGCTGTCCAATACTCCAGTGCTATTTTTCAATGGTTCTCTAACTGATATCAATCCGTGATCAATTCGTAAAAACAAAACTAATCCCCACAAACCAACTATAGAAAATTATATATCTGAGAAGACTCAGAGCATAAACCTTTATGATTTCGGCCAAATTCTGCAGGTTGGTGTATTAATACTGCAAGGCTTAGTAGCATTTATTCCTGATAGACTTCTAAATCGATAGGATGTTTGCATGAACACCGAAGGCTGTATCTGTCATCTTTGCACATATGTGCGACAGTTCAATTCGCCACACTCCATGTAGCACAAAATGCAAGAGAAGAAATTCGAAGAAATGCATAATAGAGACAGTAAACAGAGGTTGTGAGTCAAAGGAATAGTAATAAAGAAGAACAATATAGTTTCATTGGAAATCATAAGTTACAAGGAGTGGATGCATCTGTGCAAGCCATTGAGAACGATCACTTCGAGCTATATCACCAATTGTTTCCAACCATTGGTTTTTACCGTCCCGAGGACCCCAACCAGTCAGGAAGTCTACACCTTCCTACGTGGCTTAAACTAACTGTTGTGGATTTCATTGACTAGTGCCATGTTTTAGTTTGACCGCCGCTAGCTCTTTTCCAGCCTGATTCTATGTCAGCTAACATTGCCTGTCGGTCGAGGAAGGCGATGACTAGGCATACGTAACACATGTCCTAACCATCTCAGTCGATGTAATTTCACAGCCTCGTCGATTGCTTTCCCCTCCCTCCTCACCTAGCACTCGACCGGTGCCTAACATCAATATTGCTCACCTTATTATACCACTTCACACGGGAGGTAGAACACAAGCACCTGTGATCAAAGACAGCTAAACTTTTCATGTCTTCCACTCTCAATCACGTCTACGCCAGAGACGGCGTAAACTGGCATATGCGAAACTAGCCCTCTGTATCCGTACTCAGCTGAGATTTCGTCAGAGATCAACCCGTTGCCACCGGCTGATGGTACTTCCCAAATAAGTGAAGCGGTCAACGTGCTCTACCACTTCACTTCCTAATTCTAATCTAGGAGTCGGTGTAGTCCAGTCAATGCTGTAACATCATCTTGAATTTGACAGAGAGAGCGAATCGCATGCCAAACATTCGTAGATTGCAGCTCAAGATGTTCAGAAGACTCTGTATTTTGTCAGCGTCCTCACCTAGAAGACAGGACTATATCGTCTGCATATTCCAAGTTAACGAGACTATTATTCCATGGTAGCAAGTCAATCCGTGAGTCGCTGAAGTCACTTAGGGTTAAGTCCATTAGTATATCTTTGATTAAGTTGAAAAGAATGGGGGATAATGGACATCCTTGACGGACACCGCTAGTCGTCACCAGTTCAGATGACAACTCGCCGTAAGCCCTCACCTGGCTGCATGAGTACGAGTAGAGTGCCTTGATCAATGCAATGTATTTTCTCGGAATTCCCTTCACAGCCAACCACCGCCAGAGTACCTCTCGGTCGACAGAGTCGAATTCCGCCTTTAGGTCAAGAACTATAATGATTGTTGGGCGCCGGTAGGAATGCCTATGTTCTAGAATCTGTCGGAGGGTGAAGATATGATCAATACACCCACCCTCTTTCTGGTCTAAAGCCTGCCTGGCTCTCTCATGTTTATGCCTTCCGAGCAACACTTAGTCTACCCATGATTATAAAGCCTAAAACTTTAGATACTATATTAGTCAAGCTAATCCCTGTGTGGTTATCACAGGAAGACTTGTCTCCCTTCTTGTATATTGGGATAATCAGTGACTTACACCAACCCTATGGGACTTCTTCTGATTCCCAGACGCTGCCTAGTACCTCAGTTAATGCAGACAGTAAACTGTCACCACCGTACTTAAGTACCTGTGGAGTTATTCCATCAGGTCCCACTGCTTTGCCTTGTTTCAGATTGGTGACAGCTTTAGCAACCTCAGTTAGGGATGGAGGACCTGTGTTTATATCCCATTCAGGGAGGTGTTGGATGTTCGGCAGGTTGAGCGTGGCTGTGGGCAAATTAAACTGCTCCTCATAATGCTCTTTCGAGAGATCCAGTCGTCTATCCTGGGAGCTAATTATAGTTCCATTTTTCTCCGAGATTGTTTTACTAATGATTTGCCTTTTGCCACCTGTTTCCCTGATAAGCCTAAATAGTTGTTTGGTGTTGCCAATCGCCGATGCCTTTTCCATCTCTTTCGCTTTTGTCGCTCACCACTGTTCACGGTCGTTGCGAAGACTTTTTGTAAGTTTTCGTTTGAGGAGTACCTTTCTCTCCTCATCATAATCGGAGCTCGCTGGAATCAGTCTTCTTGCGTCAAGAAGGCTGCATCAGTTTTTGTAGTGTGACTCTGAGCTAATCGACTGTCTTTCTGATTACTACATAAGTATGGTCGGATTGAGGCGAACTTTTACCTACAGAAACTTAGTAAATTATAGGGCAACATTGATCTCACTATTTAACAGTCTTAAGTGAACATTTCGAAAGAGTGGGGGGGGATTTAGGGCGCATGTTCTATTTATCCATCTTCAAATCACTTTAATCCTCGTATCTGATAACTCTTTTTTCTTTGTTTGTAATACTCTGTAATGTATGTGTCCAATTACAAGTATTGTCTGTGATGTGTTTTTTTGTATCCGTCGTCATAGCTTCGATGGTTCAGACCAACTGATAGATAATGAAGGAGTTCATCCGCGTGGACGCAACAAGTCCAGAAAACGTAAGTAATTTCTTTTGGGAATGCAGTGCTTGTCGATTTCTTATTGTTACTTTTGTGTAACCTTACGAGATCACTTTCTGGTCATCTCATAAGATAGATGATCTTGGTTCTTTAGAGTTCTTAATGTTTCTGTTTTATAAACATAAAGTTATCACGAGGGCTACACTTAGTACGGAGTTGTAAATAGCTACAGAATACGTTTTTTTATCTTTGGTTTCATCGTTATCTTATTATCCTGACAACAGTTTTGAACAGGAAATAGGGGTTATTAGGATGGACTCCTTCGGGGATGCAGTCTTACGTTTCACTTCTGTAAATGTTCAACCACAGCAGCAACATCTTGAAAGCAGGTTAACATAACTTATTAATTAATTAATTAAGAGCATCCAACCAAGAGCCGATCGCTCAATAAATATGTAGTAGAAAATGGAAATGGATCGGGCATTCACTGAGGAGGCCACCGAATGACATCACTCGAGTGGAATCCAAGTGGGAAGCGATGAATGGGTCGTTGATCCTAGAGTGGCATGGAGGAGGAGGAGGTCGTGGGAAGAAGAGATGACTGAGTGTTTGGTCACTCGTGAATCCAGCTGAAGAGGACCTCAGAAAACAGAACAAAGTGGAAATGTATTGTTGAAGGCCTATGTGTTCTTTTCGGAACTGAAGGGAATAAAATAGTAATAATCCAAAGGATGACTTATTACATCCAGACTACGATTCTCTGTCATATCTCATAACGTCTCCAGATACTGATTTGACCTTATATAAGGACCTCACATAAGGAGGAGTTGTGATGCATCATAGCATATGCTAACTTAACACAACCATCTTTTCGTTGCTCCACTTTGTGGGCTAATGTACAAACATTCATCGTAAAACTTCAACCGAGTTACTTGTCTAGATTATAGAATAACGAATTGTCATGATTTAGTAGTAACTCAGTGATTTGAAATATTCTGAGGGGAGGTGACTGTTCAGAAACTTCATATATTTCTTTAACAATTCTATTGATGTTCAAGTGTTGGTTTGTAGGGCTCGCCTTGTTACCAGAAACTCCTGGGTTCGAACTCTAGTCGGTGGGTGGGTACTGCTACAGAGTCACATTAAATTTTCTAATTATTTCATTAATATATATATATATATGACAAATGGAAACTTCAAACAAATTTGTAGTAATAGTTTTGTTTTTGAAATGCCCCTCCCCTCCTCTTTCCTTACCTGTTCTTTAGTACATATTCCTTTATGTATAAAGTGAGTTTAATTTTCTCTTTCTTTTTAATGCAAAGAATAAGTGGGTTAATTTCACACAGGTATTGATTTTGTGCACACACATTTTCTCATCGATTGAACTTTCAGTCTACTGCCCTTTATTTAATTTTTTCAATTTCCGTATTTACCGTGACTAATAAGAAATAAATTTCGCTAAACATAATCGTCAGACAGTTGGATGATTTTAATGTAGTTGTATTCTATGACCTGGATGGTGTACACGACGAGCTTTCATTCCCATACTAGGCAACATCTACAGCGTGCATTCTTCAATTTATTGAAGTTAGCTTGTAAATTTCTCCACGAGTTTATTGGTTATCTCTCTCATAGTGGTAACCTTGAATGTCGTGACTGGGTGTTTTTGTGTGCTTTCACATAACACACATACACACTTGACTGGCAGTTTGACACTTTGTTGTGTATGAGATTTCCTTTTTATGGATTGATAAATTTTATCTGTGTCAATGTGCCTGTATACCAACACAGCTTACACAACAAATCCCATCAAAGTATTCGATAAACTGTATCCAAAGTACCCTAAACAAACCGACTGACTGACTGATTTCAACGCAGAACTTTGTGCCGATATGCAGCAGTTAGAGTTAAAAAGCAAGCTTTGGTGAATGTCAAGGGTATAGTTTCCAAAATGTCACAAAGTAATTGTGTCTATAGAATAAAGTGTTCAGAATGTGAAGCATACTTACTTACTTTACTTTACTTCGGCTATCTCCTACGGGAGGATGAGCCGGCTTCATGAACGTCTCGAATCATCGCTGCCCAGGCGCGGCAATTTGTAAGAGAGTTCATGAAGTGAAGCATGCTATCTATATAGGGGAGAGAGCAGTAGACAGGTGAAGGTCAGAATGAATGAACATAGACTATGCACGAAACACTCCCGCCTAGAAATGAAGTAGAATTAAAAAGTATAGAGAAAAGATCGACTATAGAAATGCATGCTATCTATGGACAGCGGACATAAGATTGATTTCGACAATGTCGAAATTCTTGGAACAGGATTTCATTCAACACATAAAGAAAGGTTGAACTCTGAAACATTCCACATTTTAATCACATCGAATGCAGTAAATAGGCAGGAGAGAAGGGATAGACTAATCACCTTTATGGCGAACTCTAATGAAGTAAGACAAAGGAAAGATAACAAAACCCCTATCTACCTCTGTGACCTTTAAAAACTGTATTATGATGTTTATCACATGTGAATTGACGTCTTTTCCACATGACAGATAACATACACTCACACACACACACACTCATACAAAACTAATCCTCACAAACCAACTATAGAAAAAATGTGCACAATAACAATTTGACATTAGTGATTAGAAATATACGTGATGACTGCTTACGTATTTCTATTGGTACAAATGTCTACCGACAAGTGTGACCTTCAAATGAACTGACTTCAATTTATATATACTAAAAGTTTTTGTATTTCCCAATGAATGAAAAACAAAACGATACTGTTTTTGCTGACATTTCGCTATTTAATGCTAATAGCCTTATCAATGCATTAGATTTCAATTTAAGTAAAAGAAATTTGACTATATATATATTTTGATGATTAATAAAAATCTGAATAGTTCTGTCGAAGAAGCTGTGGCTTACACAGCGAAACGTTCAGAAACAATCTTGTTTTGATTTTTCGTAAACACGCTGGGATTAATTTAAATAACAGAATAATTACGAGGTGTTAAAATGAATAGTCGTGTTTGTGTGGCCAACGTGGTAGGCTGAAATTGATTACAAAATATTTCGGTGAAATGGGAGACAATGGTGATTAGTCATAATAGATTTGTAGGTTGTGGGGTATGAAAATTGACAAGTAAGTTACTTCAAGGTTATTAAAGGTGTCAGGTGAGTACAAAGTACAAAGTGATCTGTGTTAAGCAGGAGATAGTAAGACTGCAATGAGAAATTCATAATGAGATAACGAATATGTTAAATGAAACAGGTGGAGGCATTTATTGAGAAAACAGACTATCACTTCTAACAATAAGTCCGTATAAATGAAAAATTCGATAGTATTGAGCATAAATTATGACGAAAAATAATAACTGTAATAATAATATTTGTAATAATAAGCAAAGTAAAAAAGGAAAAAAAACTAAGAGGGTTAAGGGGAAGGAGCACTCTTGGTGAGAAGACTTGGAATATGCAGACGATATAGTCCTTCTAGGCGAAGACGCTGACGAAATGCAGAGTCTTCTGAACACCTTGAGCCGCAATCTACGAATGTTTGGCATGCGATTCGCTCCCGCCAAATGCAAGATGATGTTACAGGACTGGACTACATTGACGCCTAGTTTAAAAATAGGAAGTGAAGTGGTAGAGCACGTTGACCGCTTCACTTATTTGAGAAGTACCATCAGCTAGTGCCAACAGGTTGATCTCTGACGAAATCTCAGCACGAATACAAGGGGCTCGTTTCGCATTTGTTAGTTTACGCCGACTCTGGCGTAGACGAGATGTTCGACTATCGACCAAAGGGCGGGTGTACTGCTCATCAGTCCACTCCGTCCTCCTTTATGGCTGTGAGACCTGGCCACTGAGAGTGGAAGACATGAAAAGATTAGCTGTCTTTGATCATAGGTGCCTGCGTTCTATTTCCCGTGTAAAGTGGCATAATAAGGTGAGCAACATTGAGGTTAGGCGTAGAGTTCTAGGTAAACAGGGGAAATCAATCGACGAAGTCGTGAAGCTACAAAGACTGAGATGGTTAGGACATGTGTTACGTATGCCAAGCCATCGCCTCCCTCGACGAGCAATGTTAGCGGATATAGGGTCAGGCTGGAAAAAAGCTAGCGGCGGTCAAACAAAAACTTAACATCAGTCAATGAAATCCACAACAGTTAGTCTAAGCCACGTAGGAAGGTGTAGACTTCCAGGCTGGGGTCCTCGGGACGGTAAAAATCTATGGTTGGAAACAATTGGTGACATGGCTCAAAATCGTTCTCAGTGGCGCAGATGCATCCACTCCCTGTGACTTATGATCTCCAATGAAACTGTTTTGTTTTTCTTTATTACTCCTTTGTCTCACACCTCTGCTCACTGTTTCTATTATGCTTTTCTTGTACTTTCTTCTCTTGCTTCGCGTGCTACACGGAATGTGGCGACTTGAACTTCCGCACATTTGTGCAAAGTTCTATGTCGAAAACAGGCAGAGACAGACAGAGAAGAAAAGTCTTCAATCCAAGGTTGGCCACGATAGGAACAGCGTCTGGACATGTTATTTTTGGATACAAAGTTCCAGTTTAGTCGATTTTATTGCAACAGCTTCAGCTATGTTTAGGAGACATAAGTAAGCTGTACGTGGTAACGACTTCAGAATTCAGTATATAACCTTGAAAGCGGTGTTGACATCGATGCGATAACTAGTATCAACCAAGTGTGACAGGATCGTGCTTTCTATGCGCTTAATTTCCTCCTTGCTGAACCAAGTTATTTAGTGTTCTTTAACCTGTCGACGAGCCTGTCTCCACCTGCTTCATTTCACATTTTCGTTATTTCATGATGAACCTCTCATTGCAGTCTCACTTCTATCTCCTGTTTAACTCAGATCACTTTGTACTAGCCACTCACTCACCTGACACCTTCTATAACCTTGAACTGATTTGTCAATTTTCCTACCTCACACTCTACAAATCTATTAATTTAAATAGTTTATAAATTAAAGAGACACCTATAGGATTATTCATATTAGATCTGATTACAGAAATTGTGATGCAAAGACTTGAAAGCATAATCCTACCGAAGGTCAAATCCAAAAATTCAGACATGTTACGTGGATGACACATTCGTGATAATCAAAACAAACGAATTTGATAAAACACACTGCTTAACAAGCAACATCTTCAGTGATAACCGTATCACAGGAAAAGAGGAATCTAAATACAAAATCCCAATTTTTGAACGTCTTAGTCAAGCGAACAACCACAGGGGAATCTGAAACTTGAGTTTATATTAAACCAACTCACGCGGACCAAATACTGAATTACATCAGCAAAAGTCCAATAACACACAAAAGGAGTTGTATACAAACAGTATTCAAGTGGGCCAACCAGGACGCATTGCAGCACTCCCACCATAAGAAAAATTGAAGAAAAAATATCTCGTGGACGTCTTCCGAAATAATGGATATCCAAGGAATTTCATCAGAAGACATATACCCCCAAGGAAGAGCACAACGAAAATCGCCCTACCATGTATAATGGACATCTCAGAAATCACTGCAAGACTATTCAAACCTTTAGGAATTGATATTGCACACAAACCAACAATATCACTTCACCACCCAGCTGGCTGGCTGGTTGGCTGGCTCTATGTCAACCAAAAGACTCAACAGCGAAAGAAGACAAAACCAACATCATCTAAAACATAATTTGCAACGACTGAAAAAAAAAATTGACTAAATTTGGCCAAAGTGAACATCCTCTTTGTCTTCGCATTCATGAACATATATTGACTGGCGAAAGGCATGATATCCACTTCCTTATATTCAGACACACAGTCAATCACGGACATCAATTCGACTGGGACAACCAGCGTTCAAATATTAGACAGAAGAAACAATAAGAATGCTAGAGAATTGTTAGAAGCTTGGCATTCCAGTGAATCATCAATCAATAGATACATTGACATGAAAAGGATTTACCAATCAATCTTATGCTTAAAAAAAGTTAAACTTAATTTTTTTATTTTTTATTTACAGCTTGATTCCACACTGTATTTTTGGTATAAGTATGAAATTTTCAGCATTGATATCGGTAGCCCAAATTTCGCAGGCCGACCATAGATATCAGGTGTGCGCCGGCGTGGTCTCGAACCCCGGACCATGTGCATGGTCGGCTAGAGTCCTAACCACTGTGCCACCGACGCACAAGGTCAAGGAAACAATCAATACCAATACAAGTTTGTATATGTGTATTTGAAAACACACAAAAACAATCAGTCACGGCGTTCAAGGTTACCACTACGAGAGATGATGACTAATAAACTCTTGGAGAAATTTACAAATTTCTTGATTATGTAATAACTTGTTACTAACGCCTAGGAATTAAATGATCTTGAACCCGGTAATTAAGTTTCACTCCTCTTATTGAAGTAGAGGGATGCATATTTCTTCTCTCAATTTGCTCCTTCGCTGCGTGTTGTTTTTTGTGTTTCTTCTCCAATATTCAGTTACTAATTATCTTTTAAAAATTTTCTTTCTTTGCACTAACACTTAGTTTGTATGACGACAGCACTATTTGAATTATTTCCTGGTGTGTGTGTGTATAACCATTTTCGTTCATTTTCACTTTCTAGTCTAATCTTTTTATGTATTTTTATGCAACACTTGGTATAGCATTGAAATGAAGTCGCCAAGTTCTATAATAAGTGACGACACAACAGTAAAGAATTGGCATTAAAATTAATTGACCCTGAAACAACCAATCAGATTCTTCTAGGTAGAAAGTGGCATTTATTCTATAAGAAAGTATATTTGTATGATACATATATGCACTAAGAAATGACTTATACACTGTATACATTTGATGAGAGCTGTCTGCTAGCCAAAATTTGTTAGACAGCAATTTACGTCAGTGTTTACGTCCCCATTCGCGTCATGAGAAAAAACAGAAACAAAGACTAATCCAACAACCAATCACGGCAAACTTTACGTGGGCCAATACAAAGAGATGACAGAATAACTTTCAGCGAGAATGACCAATCAAAAGGCTCTCTTTCTCTGCTAATAATAACACATAATAATGTAGATGAAAATCTATAAATTTCTCTTAATTTTCTTAATGAAGGATCTCCCGTCTGGCCCATGTCTTCTGTCGTTACGCAGACATCCCTAATATGGAGTGTCGATAGGAAAATTCATCTGAGTGGCTGTATATCATTTCATGGTGCGTCGGTAGCACAGTGGTTAGGACTCTCGTCGACCATGCACATGGTCCGAGGTTCGATCCCCCTGCCGACGTACGCCTGATATCTATGATCGCCTGCGAAATTCGAGCTACCGATATCCACATGTTGAGAATTCCAGACGTGCACGAAAATACAGTGTGGAATCAAGCTGTAAATCAAAAATAAAAATATTGAGAACCTTTCATCACCCTACTGGGTGACATCTTCAGCGCATACTTCAATTTGAAGGGAGCTTTTAGATTTCTCCACGAGTTTGTTGATCATCTCTCCTGGTGACCGCGGACGTGATTGGTTGTTTGTGTGTGTTACTAGGTTACTTGTATTGGAACCGGTTGTTTCTTTGACTTGAATTTTGACCCTTTGTCTGTGAAGTTTCTTTCTTATTGGTTGATAAATTTTGTCTATCTCGATGTGTCTATTGATTGATGATTCACTGGAATGCCAAGCTTCTAAAAATTCTCTAGCATTCTTGCTATTTCCTTTGTCTAATATTTGAACGCTGGTTGTCCCAGTCGAATTGATGTCCGTAGTTGTCTGTCCGAATTACAACAGCAACAACCCAATAACACACAGAAGGAATTGCATACAAACACTTTTCAAGAGAGCCAGGACCCACTGTAGCACTCCCACCTTAAGGAAAATTGAAGAAAAGTATCTCATGGACGTCTTCCAAGAGAATGGATATCCACGGAATTACATCAAGAGACATATACCCACAAGCCAACCTACCAAAGCAAAAGCCACCAAGGAAAGCACAAAGAAAATCGCCTTACCATATATAAAGGATATCTCAGAAATCACTACAAGACTCTTCAAACCTTTAGGAATTGACATTGTACACAAACCAACAAAGTCTCTGTACTCAATTCTATGTCAACCAAAAGACTCAACAGCAAAAGAAGACAAAACCAACATCATCTACAAAATAAACTGTAACAACTGCGAAAAACACTACATTGGCCAAAGTGGACGTCCCCTTCGTCTTCGTATCCACGAACATAAGCTAGCCACCAAAAGACATGATATCCACTCCCTCATTTCACTACACACAGACAACTACGGACATCAATTCGACTGGGACAACCAGCGTTCAAATATTAGACAAAGGAAATAGCAAGAATGCTAGAGAATTTTTAGAAGCTTGGCATTCCAGTGAATCATCAATCAATAGACACATCGAGATAGACAAAATTTATCAACCAATAAGAAAGAAACTTCACAGACAAAGGGTCAAAATTCAAGTCAAAGAAACAACCGGTTCCAATACAAGTAACCTAGTAACACACACAAACAACCAATCACGTCCGCGGTCACCAGGAGAGATGATCAACAAACTCGTGGAGAAATCTAAAAGCTCCCTTCAAATTGAAGTATGCGCTGAAGATGTCACCCAGTAGGGTGATGAAAGCTTCGCAAACTAACCATCCAGCTCAGAGAACAAAACCACATCAAAATCATCCACCTGAGCTACAAATCTTCTCTGTCATATCTATATCGGGAACCATTTGCCAGTGTAGTGCGTCTTTTTAGACGGCCCAGAATCCTTCAATGGAATTTGTATGAGTTCCAATTATAGGATTTGCTTTATGACGATTATGGCCTAGTGATGACAGTTGCGAATAACTGTTGCACTCGTCGTTTGTGTGGATGGTAGTGCTTGGCCTGGGAGGATTAATCATTGTACTATTGGTATTAAAATATTGGCACTTCTGTTTTAGGTGGGGGATGCGTTCTCCTGAGCCTTTATGAAGATTTATATCGTACAGTCCCACCATTCAAGTTATTCCATTGATCTTTTGTGAGTCACTTTCCTGACAGTGCTGCTGACACCACTGTATCGTTGACATCTTAGTATTCTCTGTCTCCCTCAGCTGTAGCAGATATACGTTGTCTCAGTAGCCAGTAGCGGCGTATAGACAATATTGTAGTGTGAGAGGGTTTTGATTTGTCGAAGAAAGTATCTAAGAAATCACTATGGTGTACGACTTACTGACTTTTACGGACTGCCTGCTGTGATAATAATTTCATCTGAATGCATAACCATGAACAGCGTCGCAATATTTCTGAAGAGTCATTATCCCTGAATATATGAATGGTTTAGACCCCCCACCCAACCCCCATCAACCAACCCATCTTCCATACAGATTAGTCAGAAACAAAAGCTGGTTGAAAATTGCAACGAAGATAATGAACAGCATCTATTTGCAGTTCTGAGCGATCTGATTGGTTGGTTCAAGGTCATCGACTTTGGTGTCTACTATTTATTATTGCTATAACTGTCTAGTCAGATCATATTTCTACACCCTATGCTGCTTCTTCCTCGTGTTGTTTGTTGTTGTTGTTGACGTTTTTCTCTCTCTCTCTCTCTCTTTCTGTGCTCATCATTTTCATAAATCCTATTGTGTGATTTTTTCTTTATAAATGTATAGATGATCAAATGACAACAGCTGGTGAAAGACGTGGGCACAGAAGACGTAGGAAACATGTGAGTTACTTTATCTTGATTAGTAGAGTAAACAGTTCAGTTTCTTCATTGGCGACAAATTCACTGATTAGCTCATCTGTGTATGTGTATGTGCGCATCAAATTTGTCAGACAAGAATAAAAATGAGTTATTTTCAAGTATTGGTTTGTGGGGATTTGAGCGATTGGTTACAGGATTTCATCATTAGCTGACATTGGTTAGGGAATCATTGGAAAACCGGCTGGGAGTACTGGACCACTGTTCTCGTTGTCCTAGTTTGGTATACTTCATCGGCAGTACATACCTACCGATTGGAGTTCGAACCCAGGGTTTAGGAGTGCATAAGGTAAAAGTAGGACCCAGTATCTCCCACATGGTAGTTTGGTGACCATTTTACCGCTGAAACCCACCTATGCATCTCGGATCTCTGAGCTAAGATCATGTGTGTGAATTACAGTTTATTACTTAACAGTTAGTGCTATTTTCAGAACAAAAAATTTCTTGCCCTAATATTAAGTTTTTATCAAAAACCTAGTGTACTTCTGTCCAGATCTTTTCAGTGCCCCAATAGACTATCTGGTACGACTGAGAATGAGTAGTCTTCGGTCTTCTTCTCGAAATGCTTTCACGTAGCCTACCAGGTAGGCACACTTCAAAATACCTTCACACATAGAGGGGCTGTTCCTCATAGAAGTGCAAGGGCAGATATGAATTTCTGGACCTGGAGGAGTTGCAAAAACCCTGATTCCAAACCTATGGTGCAGCACATGGGCTTCAGTATTCGAACCGATCGAATAACTTATGAACCTATTCTAGTCACCTGTGTAACCACGGGAACGCAGTTTCTCTTGCCGCTTCAAGGATTGATGACCTTTGAGTCATGTAGCTAAGCGGTGATGGATGAGATGATTGGTTTTAGTCTGTAAGTAATATGAGTCGAAGTCATTTACAAGAAGTACACATGCATGCATCTTCCCACCATCTTCGCTTACTTCATAAGTGTTTCACGGTCATAGGAAGTTCTGGGTTCGATCCCCGGTGAGCTAATGGATACTTACTGATTAAGAGTTTTAAACTAGGACGAAATAACTATCCAGTATCTCTTGGTTTTGTGATTTAATTCGAAAACTAAGGAGCACTGACCAATTGTTCCGTTCTCATTTTCTGGAACGGTTAAGAGAAGTGTGCAACTGTAACCTTGAGAATTCAGTATCAGTATCATCCGTTGGATTGGAATTCAACAGGTGTTGTGATTGCTAACCTCTAGTAATTAAGTTATTGTCTAGAGGTTAGGGCATATCTTTGCAGCTTCAGCAAACTGCGTTCGAATCCTAGGCAGCGATATCACACTATTTTTTCGCCATCTTGTATATTCTTTGAGGATGATTGTGTCGTTATTGTGTGTGTGTGTACGTCGTTGCCTAACCAAAAACATCCGCTACTAGGTTACACTCTCAATTCATATGTGTTTAAATGCAATAAATAAATAAGCAAATACACTGACTGGTTACCATGGTATCGCTGTTATGCGTGTTTAGTCATTGGGTGCAGACTCAATTCTGTCAGTCAGTTTTGAATTCTGGCTACAGATTCTCTCTAAATTGATGTTAGGTGGTTGGAAGCAATCGCCAGGAAGCCCTGGACTTAGGTTATGTGCTTTTTTACACTAGTCAGGAAGGCGTACCTACAACTCTGAAGAAGCTAATACTCTCCTCCCTCCCCCCCCCCCAGAGGTTCGAGGCTGCGTCACTCCGTGGTGCAATCAAGGACGTTCCTACTGGAGTATTCTGATTCATGATTAATCACGTATAGGACTGATATAGTTTAGCGTAATAGTCATATATCTGGTAAATCTCTGTCGTAACGCTTCCATCAAAACCATGCTCCAGTCTTCCGGGAAAAAACTTGGTTGCCTCAAGTTTCCTCCTACGTATCTTTGCTTCTGAAACCGAACGTTAAGTCAGTTTTCCGTTTTAAACGTCCCTGATCCTATGGACAAGGTGAACGCTTCATTGCAGCCTCTAAACATGCTTTCATGAGAGCGAACGGCGAAGGGGTAATGAAAAAAATCTTGGATCAATTTTGGCTACTTTTTCGTATAACACCAAATCCTTTTGTACCAAATCAATTATCTCCAGCGGAAATAGTGTTTGGCTGGAATGTCGAAACTGTTCTCAACTCAATTAAGCCTAACCACTTGAAGCAGGGTTGCAGAAACACAAAAATGGAAATTCAATCCAATCACCATCATGGAGGTGTCGGTGGCACAGCGGTTAGGATGTTTGCCGACCATGCACATGGTCCGGAGTTCGATCCCCGGCCACAGACGCACTCCTTTACCTCGCTAAGCCAGAAATAATGCTGGTAAAGAGGAAAGGTTGGCCATGAGGCTGGCTAGCAACCCCATCCTGTAAAATAAACGCTGTTACGGAAAATTCAAGCCACTAGCTTGAAGCCCTATGTTCCACTGGGAACGTGAAGGAAAAAATTCCCATCATGGAGATAAATGTCAAGTTTTCAAATCGTATCAGCACGTTTAATCTACGTGATTTTCGTTATTCACCCGCCATAGGTGGACTCATAGACAAATAGTCGAGCAAGAAGGAAATGTTTTATACAAAGTGAGTGTAAAAGGACTGATATGTACTAGACGCACAAATCAATAAACGATGTTCCTCAGAGAAACCAAACAACAGGTAGCAAAACTTCACTATAGAAGTCCTGTTGCATACATTTAATCTTCCCCATCCGGAAAATTAGGACACAGATCAGACCCTATCGATTATCACTCGAAGGTAGGTCAGCTTGACGTAGAGGAATACCGAAACCTTTCCAAATACATCCAAGACGTAAGTCCTACAATATTTTATGAGGGAGGGTTCAAGGAAGTGGCTTAAAATAATCATTTTGTGATTCATCTTCATGTGATTGGATGACTGAAATTTCATCTTCTGATCTGACCTTGGCCAGGGCCAATCAATGGATCAGAATTTTTATTTTGCCCTGGAATTAGTCGAGTCGTCAGTGAATCAGAACAGTTCACTGGGTCCTATCAAGTGTCTACGGTATCATATCACAATTGGCGACAAGTCTATAACAAATAGATACATTGATGATTGGTCATCAGGGGGTAATCAATGTTATCATGTGTGTCTCATCTTTGGTGAAATTAATCTCCGCTTTACTATATTAAAATAAAATCTTTTTTACAATTGTACACATCTGTTATTGATATAAAAAAATTGACTGACCTTCATTGTTCTTGTTGTTGTTATTCTTGTTGTTTGATTTCCTTTTTTCTCTCTCTTCACTTATTTGTAGAACCGACAATGTGAACTGACGGGTGATTGTCCTGAAGGTAAGCAAATTATTTTATTGACTAATAATTAATGCTTTTTATAACAGACAGTTGTGTGTATGTGTGTGTGCAAGAGATTTCAGTTTTTCTACAGAATAGAATTTCTCTCTGTCTGTCTTTGCTGTCTATTTTCAACTTAGAACTTTGCACCAGTTCGAGTTGCCACTCTCCCTCCATGTAGCACACAAAGCAAGAGAAGAAAGTAAAATGAAAAGCAAAAAGGAGACAGCAAACAGAGATATGAGACAAAAAGAATAGTAATATCGAAGAACAATATAGTTTTGTTGGATATTATAAGTTACAAGGAGTGGATGCATCTGCGCTATTCGTTGAGAACGAGGATTTTAAGCCATATCACCAATTGTCTCCAGGTTTCATTGGCGTTCACGTCCCGAGGACCCCAATCAACCAAGAAGTCTACACCTTCCTACGTGACTGGCTGGCTTAAACTAATTGTTGTGAACTTCATTGACTGATGAAGCCATGTTGACTTTGGTTTGACTGCCGTTAGCTCTTTTTCCAGCCTCACCTTATGTTAGTCAGCATTTCCCGTCGAAGAAGGCGATGTCTTGGCACGTGTAGCACATGTCCTAAACATCTCAGTCGATGTAACTTCACAGCCTCGTCGATTGATTTGAAAGTGGTAATTATTTTGTTGGGTTTGGTTGTGTGTGTGTGTATATGTGTGTGTGACAGAGAGAGAAACGTTTGACAAAATTTCATTTTATTCTCGTTAATGTATTGTTAATGTTGGTAACTTGTTCGTGGAGGAGGGGCAATCTAGTGGCTTTAGACTACTGATTGATTGAAATGAATAGTTTCGTAGTCAGTCAGGTTGACCATGATTGTTTCCTAGCCAAACTAGAATGATAAAAGAACACTGAACGATCGCTTCGAACATTTGACATCGAATTCAATTCTATTTTCAAAACACTAGGAGAATCAATGTCACACAAGTGTGTGATAGCAAAATATGAATGTCCGAACAAGAGTGTGAACACAAGTGTGTGTGCGAATATTCAAAATGAACAAATCAATAGACAGTCTTAACATGATTGGCTAATTATAATGGAGTATCGATCCATATATACCTAGCAAATATAACAGATTGTCAAACAAACACACATATTATATGGATACATATCACCAAGAACAGGCTGTCAAACAAAACACACATATTATATGGATACATATCACCTTCCATGTAACACACAAAGCAAGAGAAGAAAGTAGAAGAAATGCATATTAGAGACACTAAGCAGAGGTGTGAAACAATGGAATAGTTATAACGAAGAACAATATAGTTTCATTGGAAATCATAAGTTACAAGGAGTGGATGCGTCATCACCAGCCATTGAGAACGATTTTGAGCCATATCACCAATTGTTTCCAACCATTGGTTTTTACTGTCCCGAGGACCCCAGTTCGTCAGGAAGTCTACACCTTCCTACGTGACTGGCTGGCTTAAACTAATTGTTGTGAACTTCATTGACTGATGAAGCCATGTTGACTTTGGTTTGACTACTGCTAGCTCTTTTCCAGGCTGACCCTATGTCAGCTGACATTGCTCGTCGAGGAAGGCTATGACCAGGCATACTTAACACATGTCCTAACCATCTCAGTCGATGTAATTTCACAGCCTCGTCGATTGATTTGCCATCCCTCCTCACCTAGCACTCGACCGGTGCCTAACCTCAATATTCATCACCTTATTATACCACTTCACACGGGAGATAGAACGCAAGCACCTATGATCAAAGACAGCTAATCTTTTCCTGTCTTCCACTCTCAATGGCCAGGTCTCCCTCACAGCCGAAAAGGAGGATGGGGTGGACTGCTGGGAAGTACACCCGCCCTTTGGTCGATAGTCGGATATCACGTCTACTAAGCCAGAGACGGTGTAAACTGGCTTATGCGAAACTAGCCCTCAATATCTGTGCTGAGATTTCGTGTGGTTAACTACATTACAGGGGAAGTGTTAACATAAAGAATCAGATTCGTCATCTTCAAATCACAGAATTCGAAGTGATTGTTTACCACAGTTTCGATATAATGCATTCAATTTTTTTGCATAACCGCCATCGCTTTCTATTCGTTTCAGTAAGAGCACCCGTGAAACATTGATTCAGAGTACGCCTTGAACTTTGCTTAGACAGCCTTCAGTTTCTTAGACAACTCAAATCAACAGTCATGAATTTTCATAAATATTCACATCATATCTTATATGTTGTTTTCTTTTGTGACTTAGTTCTACTGTAACTGAGATTGTTTATCGGTGAAGAGTCAACCGTTCGATACGCGTACCACATATCCCAGTCATCCGAATATAGACGTGATGTAGAAACCTCTTTGATTACCTTTCATTATTGAAATTTCTTATTTCTTATTGTTCCCTTGGGTTCCGAGTGGAACATAGGGCTTTGACAACACCTCTCCACTTTGTCCTATTCTCCACAGTCCTCTTTAGCTTAGTCCACGATCGTCCATAATCTTTCATTTCCTACTCTTCACACGATCTCTTCCAACTCCGACGCATTCCCGACTTGTCGTTCCCCATTCGGCTTCCATTCTAGTGATGACTTGTCACGCGATGTCGACCAACAGTCTCCTCAGCGTGTGTCCGATCTCTCTTCATTTTCTTCGGAATATTTGTTGAGCAATGGCTTCTTAGTTCAATTGTTCCTAGAGTGTCTTGTTGCTAATTCTTTCTGCCCTGCTATTTGATCTCCAATATACAGAAAAGGGGGCAGCTGTTGATGAAAGTCTGCAGTAGACTGTTGAAAATGCTTTCCATGACCCGTGGTGCAAGTTTCTGACTCATATAGAAGAATTGACTTCACACCCATGTTAAAAATTCAAACCTTGTTCTTTATGCTGAGGAGGAGTGCAGAAGGTTTCGAAAGGGATACCAGGTTGCTAAAGGTGTCTCTTGCCTTTCCGATTCTGACTTCGATATGTTCATCTGTTCCAACTGTGGTTGAAACGATGCTTCCTTGATAAGTTAAGGAAGTAACCTTCTTCAAATTTTTCCCGTTGATAGTGATTGTAGCTGTTTGTTGTCGCTGTTAGTTGATTACCTCCATCATCTCTGTCTTCTCTATGTTTACCACGAGTCCTGTCTTCAGTGGCTGCTTCTTCAACCAATAGTTTGTTCTTCACCAGCAAGTCTTCGGGTTTGTATGACGATTCCATATAAATCATCCTCAATATCGTTATTTTCCAGGGTCTTATTATCGGTGGTTTAGAGTATTCCTGTCTCCTCACTCCCGTTATACAATCTGACGCATAATCCAGTCCACCATAATTTAGAATATTATCGTAGGTGATAATAGGCAGCCAGCTTATCTCACTCCTGTATGCACTTCGAACGCCTCGCTGAGTTTTCCTTTGGGGATCACCTGGCATATGTCATTGTCATATAGTCAGCTGTTGAATGAGGTTGATAATAATAATAATCAGGATTAAGTCAGAGGAGATAAAATACAGTGATATATAATCTCAGAAAATAAGTACAAAGTTGGTTGAACACATCCAACTAAGTGTTAATGCTGTAAATGGATATATCAGGAGTGATTTGCCCAAAGAAATATTCCATTACAAGTTAGCCGTCAGTTAGTTCAATTAGTTAGTCATCAGACTTTATACCTGTTGTGTAGAGCCAGCCACTTCAAGACCAGGATATTGTGGTGCTTAAATGCCTCCAATCAGATAGACCGAAACTTTAATCAACTATTGTCTTCAAATGATGTTTCTAACATTAAATTTATTTATATTTTTTGACAATTATTCTGTATTTATCTTTACCCTTCTGATATTTTTTATTGCTGCGAATATAACAGGTACAGTTCATAGAAAACCACACAGACGTGGACGAAAACGCGTGAGTTCCCCATCAATTTTTTGCCTATCCTCACGTAAATTTCAGCGATTATATTTCATGTATATGTGACATATCCCTTTTTTGTCACTAAAGTGATGTCACCTTCTTTATTCTGTGGAAATTGTGCTGCGTCATTTAAAAAAAATATGGACCGTAGCATACTACTAACATGTTTCCATGCAAATCAAAAAAATATTATACGTTTAACTTTTGAACTTAATGCATCCTTCAATTTGGTCGCATTGCTTAGATAATAATAGTAATAGCTTTATTATGAACATTATATCATATTACGAAGGGTATTAAATGGTGTTAGTAGGGCTTTTGGTATGCCACTGCGTGAGCTCGCCAATATTATAGTCGAAAGACGCATAAATTCCTGTACAAAATGGGCAAAGGCCGTACTGTCAGACCCCTTGCACCCCCTTTATTCACAACTATTCCCTTGCATCTCATCAGGTAGGACGAGAAGTCAATATAAGAAGTTATATGCTTGAACCACTAAGTAGCACAGTGGTTAGGACCCTCGCCGACCATGCACATGGTCCGGGATTTGAGCCCACGCTGACGCACACCTGATATCTACGGTCGGCCTGCGAAATTCAGGCTGCCGATATCCACGCTGAAAATTCCATACTTGTACCAAAAATTACGGCGTGGAATCAGGCTGTAATAAAAAAATAACTAAATAAAAGTACAAAAAATCTACAATACCCTATTTAGTCCGTATTTATGTGATGAAGACTCTTTTAGACGTGAAACAAATAAGTTACTATGTAATTAGCAAGGTGAATCGACCCTTTCATTGTTCGTCTCTCTGTAATTTTATACTTTATGCATATTTTTCTCCTAATCGCATATTTTAATTTGCTACATAGCTGCTATAACAACGTTTTGTTATTATTATTATGTAATGTTTATTTTTTTTGTAGTTTTGAGTAAATTAGATGCAATATTGTACTGAATGCTGAAAATTCCTTGCTGTATGATTAGTACTGTTTTTGGAATAAAGCAAAATTACTATTATTATTTATATAATGTACGATTGTTCCATTATGGTTAAAATTTATTTAGATAAAGTCCCACAGTGTTATACAGTAATGGACGAAGCTGCCCATTGAGGAAATTATTTTAAGAATTCAGTTATGCCTCCCATCTACTACTATCTTTAAATTCCAGGGCAAAAGAATATAGACAAACAGAAGGTGTAGCAATGGGACGGATCATCAATATCCCCTCCGCCCGCCCCCTTATCGTAGCAGATATCTTTATGGATGTTAGCTGGGAAAATATTGCTCTTAATATATTTAATCCTACTCCAAAAATATGGTGGTGGAGACATGTGGATGACACTTTCACACACAGTGTTAAAAACAGAACATGTCTCTAGTTTCTTCACATATATAAACTCCCTAGTAGACGGGATAAAATTCATATTTGAATCGGAAAATGAACAAGGAGAACTAGCTGTGTTGTTGTTAGATTGTAAAATAAAACGAATAGAGGAAGGTAAACTGCACACTGGCCTTTATAAAAACCAACGCATTCTGTTCAGAGATATTTAGACTTACTTTACTTTACTTTACTTCGGCTATCTCCTACGGGAGGATGAGCCGGCTTCATGAACGTCTCGAATCATCGCTGCCCAGGCGCGGCAATTTGTAAGAGAGTTCATGAAGTTTCATGGGAATTTGGTACGAGTAATGTCCCCAGCATCGCTCGGCCTTTTGTTTGAGAGTGCAGCTCTAGCCTTTACACAGCCAAGTGTGACCTACAAGGCAGTAGGAGTGGAGTAAGGAGTCCACTATCCATTGGCAGCCGGTGACCGGAGTTCGGTTCATACGCCTTTTTGAATGGGGCCAGACATCCAGGACATCCAACAAGCCCTTTGTCCATACGTCTGCCGGTGAGCTCCAGTGAGCTTCATACGCCAGTCGTTGGAGGTTTGGAATCAGGGTTTAGCCATCTCCCCTAGACCGTCATCCAATGGACAGTCAACCCGGTGGAGAGCGCCGGGCATCCGCTTTCGCCCTCTCACTTTGGTGAGAAACACCTCCGCCACGTGAAGGCAGTGAGTAGGACTTCCTCAGGAGAGGCTATGTAAGACGCCCGGTCATATGGGAGCATTTCAAGAGGTGTGCGGAGGGGTGGCCAACCCGCAGCGCAAGGCACCCACCCCCGACCATCCTGAGGCTTTGGAGACTTCAATTCATCTGATCCGTTACCTGTTAAGGCAGGCTTAGTGAAGTGTCTAACAAACTGAGCAGTAGTACTAAGTAGTACAAGAAAAGACCTAAGTGATGAAATGAAACAGATAGAGGAAGAATAGCTGGTTGGTGTTGAATAACTGTGTTCTATAAAATTCATTGGGAAGATCAGAAATGGTCAAAAGCAAAAATAAAACTAATTATGAAACTAATAATGATAACATAAATAAGAGAGAATATAAGGCATCTACTGTTACACTATACAAGGAGGGGGACATCTGAGACCGTCCTTGCGCAGGATTCTTAATAGAGCAGGAATTAAAGTGGCATTTAAACCTACTAACTCACTCAGGAGATTTCTTGTGTTGGTTCTCCTGAATAAGGTATCTAAAAATGGGATTTATATTATCTAATTCTTCTCTACTGAATTTGATGTCTTCAAATATGTTGTTCATTAATTTATGGGTATATTCTAAATCATTTCTCTTAATCAATACAAATGTATCATCAACGTAACGTACCTGTGCAGATTTTCGGTCTAATTATAGGTAGAGCTATTAATTCTAATCTTTGCATGACGGCTTCAGCTATTAATCCCGATATGGGCGATGATCCCACTGGTGTTCCTTTTCTCTGAAGATGTTGTCCAGAAGGACGACGAAAGCTCTCCAACTAAACCAACCACCACAGAGAACACTAATAATTGCAAATCATCCACCTGAGCTACAAATCTTCTCTATTATTTCAATATATGTATGACAACTTGTCACTAAACTATATCATAGGACAACGGATTACGACGCTACAATTAGTGGGGTATATGCAATTAAGCCACTCCCTACATTTTATATTCAAATTTGATGAAAGGCTTGATGTGTGTGTGCCTATGTAGTGATATATATATATATATATATATATATATATATATATATATATATATATATATATTGTTGACAAAAGTTTTCGAGAATCATGTTTCATCTCCATGTACTAAGGTGTTCTTTCACTGAACTATTCCAATTTTCTTTCTTAACTTTTCTCTAGCGTACACGATGCAACTCTGATACTGATTGTCCCAGTGGTAAGTAGGTTTCTTCTGTATATTTTTAATCCTGTTTGGAGCACAATTCATTGATTTTGAAATAATTGTTTTTTTTCTTCAACTAATGGTTTCCAGAGATTTGATTGGTTACAGGATTTCATCATAAGCTGACATCGGATTAGAGAACCATTGGAATACCAACTAGGAGTACTGGATAGAATTTGCAATTTATAAGCCATTTAACCGGATTCCAGTATCTGAATACTTTATAACCTCACCTTGTAACTGGAAGGTCCTGGGGTTCGAACCCTGGCGGTGGGCGCATGCTGTTGAAGGGACCCTAATAGAACAAAGCAGCTGTCGACTACTTTCTACCTACAGGTTTTTTGAATGGCTGTCTAATCGATGTCGGCTCTTGATGAAATCTTGTGATCAATCAAATCCCTGGAGACCAACAATTGAGTACCAGTGTGATGCTTACTAGCGACTCACCCTATTCAAGTATCCAGGGTTCCTGGGTTCTGGTAAGAAGGTGTGACCAGTGCGATACAACAGGTTGGATGTGAGGACAAATATTCGCTACCGATGATAGTGGCTAGTGCCAGTTGCGCTCTATCGTAAATTGGCAGAAGTTAGAATTCATGGGCCGGCCATAGGATCAGATCCCAGTAGTTTAATGGTCTATGTGGTAACATACATCTCCTTTCTTCCAAATGTGTATTGACAATTAGTTTATCTTTGATGTAGACTTCGTAACGAGCTGATATCAGTTAGTGAAATTCAGACAGTGACTGAGAAGCTTTTTTCAGCCTAGATTAGAACTACTGGCCTTTCAACAGTGTGGTCATCTGTGACTCTCCGCTGAGGAGAACGGAACCTAGGAACTAGACATGTTGAACGCTACTCAGTTAATGAGTTAGACATCAGGTGTGTATTATATGCATTCTAACCTGTAGCTTCTCTAACTGATATCATTTCATAACAACGCCGCAACAGGCGCTGACTACCCGAGTGAATTTCTAGCGTAGAAGTGCTTCATTTCAAGGTTCCACATTCTGTATAACAGAAATGTACGAGAGAAGGAATCATTACATGAAGAAATATAGGAGATTAATAGATCTTGAAGAGACTAAAGAGTGAAATTCATCTTCTCCACTGAGAACGATCTTCAGTCATATCACACAATAACAGTCTCCAGGCCAAGCAGTATACACACTTTTCTATGTGGTTGGTTGGCTGGCTGGCTCAAACCAAACTCTCGAAGGCTTCATGAGTTGATGGTGGGTTTTGATTCGACCATCTATCTCTCATTCTTTTCCAATCTACTTCTATGTCAACTGACATTGTTTGATGCGGAAGGCGGTGGTAGCTCAGCAACCCTAAAATACCAGTTAATCATATTCACACACTTGACGAATCGATGAGCAGTTTTTTAATTTACACACTACGAGTAGTGAAATTCCATAACACAGTTTCCTTGGAAACCGTATACTACTACTGATTGATTCAGATGAGTGGTTGCTTACCTCTTACATTGTCAACCAACAGTGCTTGTTAGTCATCCGTTTCACTCGTTTGGGGTCGATCTCACCAGTGGTGTATCCGATTCAACTCAGTTTAGAGTGTTGGATCAGTTCAAACCACACCCGATTATTCTTGCTAACTACGTGGTCGAGAGGTGGTCATGCTATAAATCAACTAGTCATCTCAATCAATCACTAGGAGTATTATGGTGAGAGCTGTCTGTTGGCCAAATTGGTGGGCAGCAATTTACGTCAATGTTTATCTCCCAAATCTTAGTCATGCGAAGAAAAAAACAAGAACAAAGCCTAACTCAACAGTAAATGACAGCGGACTTTGCGTGGGTGGATACGATTCGCAGATATATTGTCTGACCTTCAAAGTAGACGGCCACAAGAGGTGACAGAATAACTTTCAGTGAGAAAACGACCAAACAGAAGACTCTTTTTTTCTGCTCATAATAACACATAATAATGTACATAAAAATCTATGAATATCACTTGATTTTCCCAATAAAGGATCTGTTGCCTGGCCCTTGTCTTCTGTTGTTACGGTATACAGTTTCATGAAAATTCCCGAGTCATCTCAATCAATTCAGCTTCACAATCTCACTGATTTACTGTGCGTCCTTACCAAATACTCTACGCCTGACATCAATACGGCTCATTTTTACACAGTAGGAAGAAGATAAACATCTGTAGTGAAAGACAATTGACTTATTTTTGCATCTCCCATTGTTTCACAGGCATAACGAAGGGACAAAGCCTAATGGCTGCCCGCAGTACACAACACATCCTTTGATCAACAATCGGATATTATTCAAGTGTTGGTGTGTAGGGATTTAATTGCTTACAGGATTTCATCATGAGCTGACATTAGTTAGAGAACCATTGAAAAACCACCTGGGAGTACTGGACAGCTGTTTCCGCTGTCCTAGTTTGGGACTCTTCAACGGTACACACCCACTGATTGGGGTTCGAACCCAGGTCCTCCTGGTTACAAGGCGAGCTCGTATATCATTAAGCCACTGGGACCCGATCCAGTGGCCCATGAATTCTAACTTCTGCCAATTCACGAAATAGCGCGACCCCTAGCGAATATCTTCGGCGAGTATCTGTCCTCATCCCCGACCTGCTGCACCCTACTGGTCACGATTTCTCACTAGAACCCCAGGTAACTACCTACCTGAATAGGGCCAGTCGCTAGTGAGCATCTCATTGTTATTCAAGTGTTGGTTTGTAGGGATTTGATTGATTTCAGGACGAAACAGCTGTCCAGTACTCCCAGGTTTTCCAATGGTTCTCTAACTAATGTCAGCTCATGATGAAATCTTGAAATCGGATATCATCATGATTGCATAAATAAATAAACGTATTCCCATAATTCTTGATATAAAATGGTTTCAATAATCTCAGTATAAACCTGTTTTTTTAAATATTGTTATTTTTGTTGTTGTTATTGTTAGGTCAAACATGCAAAGAACGTCGTCATGGTGGACGCAAGCACCACTCCAATGATATCAATGGTATTCCACTCGATTCATCACCATCCTCCTCCTCATCATCAATGTCTATTAGTGGCGTAAAGTCCATTGGAAATAAAGTTTGCCGTGAAAAACGACATAGTGGCGGTGGTAGTAGTAGTAGAGTTCTTAGAAGATCCGGAGCTCTGTAATAAATTGTATTCAGACAATTCATGACATCGACAAGTATTATAATTATTATAATTATCAAAGCATTCATTCTTCGGAAGTTCTTCATTCAAACTGCTTAAATAGTATGCATATATATATATATATATACATATACATAAGTTTACACGTTACATACATTAACTGTTGTTTATTTCTTTTCTTGATTTTTAATCGATCTGTTTACGTTTAAAAAGTTTAAAAAAAAGAAATCATTTGACTCATCAAATTCATTTTATTTGTTTATCTTGATCAACGAAAACAAAACAAGAGGGAAATTCAATGGCGCCATTTTTAAAAAGAAAATGGCGCAACATTTTGTTGTATACCTTTTTTTGGAAATGATTACATCGATGATAATAAAACAAAAGAATTGAAAGCATGAAGAATAAAAAATAAATCATAGTAAATAAATTGTCCGATTAGGCATCAGTTTAATCTAATTCAACCTCACTCATGTCATCGTATGATTTTTTTTCTTCTGCCCTATTTCTTCTTGTTTGTTGCCTCCGCATTTAATTTTTCCTATTTATAGTTTTTTTTTCTGGTCTTTTTATTGTTTTTCGTAAACTGAATAACACAAATGTCATAAATTGGGATTTATCCCTTCCTTTTATTAACTTGCTTGACAGTAATGATGATGATAATAATAATAATAAATAAAAGTCAATATTCAGTATTATCTGATTTTTTGTCTGTTTTTTTTGGTTGTTTGTGACCTGTTAAGTTATGTTCAGTTCCCCGTCTCACCATTAAATTGGTACTACTGCTAATGATTGCATAGGACCAGAGTATTTCTCCACGCTATTAAGAAGCGAATCGTGTTCACTTTAATCATTGTCTGTCTGGATTCAACATAGAACCTGGTGCCGAAGTGTACCAGTTCGAGTTGCCACCTTCCAAATAGCACACAGAAAGGTAGACAAGAAGATGAGTGAAGAGAATCAAAAGAGTTTGACAAGTATAAGAGTGAAACAGAATGAGTAGTGGTAGAAAGAAATATGAAAGATTACATAGACTGAATACATCTGCGCTGGCCATTGACAACGATTTTGAGCCATATCACCTATTGTCTCCAGCCATTGATTCCTAGAGTCCCGAGGGCCCCAACCCGGAAGTCTGCATCTCCCTCCCTACCTGACTCAGTTTAACTGTCAAGGATTTCATGGATTGATGAGGCCATGTTTTTGTTTGGCCACCACCACTTACTCTCTCCCAACCTGCACCTATATCAGCTAGTAATGCCCGTCGGGGGAGGCGATGGTTAGGCATGCGCACCACGTCACCTAGCCATATCATTCTATGTAACTTTATAGCCTCGTTGATTGATTTTCCCTCTTTGCCAAACACTCTACGCCTAACGTCAGCATTTCTTACCTTATTATTCCACGTAACGTGAGAAAGAGATCGTAGACATCTATGATCAAAAACAGTCAACCTTTTCATGTCTTCAACTCGTATTGGCCATGTTTCAGAGCCATAGAGAAGGACGGAGCGAACTGCTGAGCAGTACACACGTCCCTTGGTTGATAGCCGGGTGTAACCAACGCCTACGCCAGAGATGGTCTAAGTCAGCGGAAGCAGCTGGAGCTTGTTTTCAATTAGATCTTCCGGCTTAACTCTAATTTACGTAACTTTATATATATTTAAAAAAATTAGCCAATGACAGTGAGTTTGCGGATCAAATAATAAAAATGTTTTGAACGTCAGTAATAACTATGGTTATAATGATAATAAGGTTTATGCAGGTGGCGATAAGAATAACAAAGGTAGTAATATGTTCGTGTATGTAGGTAATTCAATAAATAAATACATTAGTTCAAATCATAAAACTTACGCAATACTCAGGGTGAAGTGGACAGATAATCAGAGTTTAAATAAATATAGTAAAAGTGTGAAGGGAATGGAAAGTCAGGAAGGATGGAAGGGTTTTTAAATAGAATTTATTTAGACCAAGGGAGAGGGGAAGGTAGAACAAACTACAGCATTGAAACGGACTTATACTGCCGCCACCCTTTGTTTATAATTTTCTACGCAACCACTTATGACTGCTCAAGCGAAGGATAGGCTGCCTAGCTCTAACACTTCTATATGTAATTGCAAAATTAGCTGCTGCTGTGGACAAAGCTTTATAGCGCAAACAACTAGATAGCTCAATAAACGCATCATCACTGAACATCTTTTTGCATGGTCCAGAACAGACGAAGTAAAATCTATAAGAAGTTCTATTTTGTCTCATTTCGCTGCAGGCGGCCTGCTTAAATCATTGGGCTACCGAAATTACTCCCCTCCAAAATGCTGAATTTCATTCGGATTTATCATTGTTTTAATCGTCCAGTTATATCAAATGACCTGTACATAAACTTGCGCGATGATTTAACTTGCTCACAAGTAAAGGCTATTCAATTCTTCAACAACATATCATATCATATGCTGAAAAGTCCATACTTGTACCAAAAATATTGTGTGGTTTCAGGCTATAATCAAAAATTAAAAATTAAATTAGTGTTTGAAGAGATGGGCGGAAATACCGTCAGCCATTGAGAAGGCACTACGTCCAATTGATGATTCCCAAATAGGACGAACGCAACATCCTAAAGTTTTACTGTTATTCACCATATGACAAGTACTTTCAACGTACTAATCCTGATATTAATAAGATATCCGTTCAAGACGTCCATTTGTCAAAAAAATCACGCTGATCAATCTCGGTTCAGATATGTTCACAGGAAAATCAAAAGCATGAATCACTCTAAATGCATACTGAAGGTGTTACAACACGGTTAGGGAAATTTAAAACAATCAATTCCCCACTATGAATTTAGATAAGGCTATAAGAACACGTAGTTTGTCTGAGTCGTGTAATGTGGTATTCGCTCAACACATTTCGAACAATCTGATCACACTCCACGGACTTGTCATAGTAGTACATATTTATGAAACTAATAAAGAGTTAAGAGGTGAAAAAATAGACTTAGGTCAAGTTAAAAGGACATATTCAAGGTCAAAATAACAATGATGATCACTAACCCAAAACAACAGAGGTTATAGTACATCTACCCTGACTGGTATCAAAACAAAGTTTACCATGGAAGGTGGTTTAATGTGATGACGAATTGTTGCTATGTCCTCATAAAGGTGGTATGAACTTCCTAATTGCCAGCTAGGGCTTCCACAAACTTTAGGATACACCCAAAACACATCGATCTCTGCAATTAAGGGCTGGCTTCAGAGCATATTCCTAAATGGCTATTTCTGAAGTAAATATAATCCCCAGAACCCATTAATGGTGAGAGCACGAGACTCAGCTCCTCTACTGCGAAATATATTATAGAGACAGGACATAAAATTGATGTTAATACATCTTTTAAATTTATCTATAAAACGTGTTTTGGGGTGGGTGTATCCTAAAGTTTGTGGAAGATCTAGATAGCAATTAGAAAGTTTATACCACCTTTATGCGGACAAAGTAACAATTCGTCGCCACACTAAACCACCTTCCTTGGTAAACCCTGTTTTAATACCAGTCAGGGAAGATGTACTATTACCTCTGTTATTTGGTTTAGTGATCATCATTGTTATTTTGACCTTGAATATGTCCTTTTAACTTGACCTAAGTAGTCTATTTTCTGATCTCTTACCTCTTTATTAATTGCATATATATGTACTCCTATGACAAGTCCGTGGAGTGTGATCAGGTTGTTCGAACTGTTAGGAAAGAAAACAAAAACAACAATTTTATTTTCTATACTTGCTTTATTTAAACAAGTATGATGCTTTATTTGTACTGATTACTAATTGTCAATGTTAAATTGTATACATTTATTACTGATGCATACATCATTCATTCTTTTTCATTCCATTTAACACTGAAACACTTTTGTTTAAATTACATTGAAATGTAAACAGCGCGGTTTTTAAAATCTAAGCAATAATAAAGAGAAGCTTCCTAATTTCGTAATACATTTTTTAAAATAAAATGAATATAAATCAATTATTATTATTGTTATTATAATTTTTAATTGATTTATTCACATTTTTCTTCTATTCCACATAAATCATTTATTAAATATTTATAATTAATTCTTTCAACTTTTGATGTTGACTGTGTTAAACCGAGAGATTTTGGTTTATCGCCTTTACTCATTGATAACCAATCGACTTCAATATTACCAGTATAATCACATGGTGCTTGTATAGTCATACCATTAGTTGGTGGACATTTCCAATTCAGTTGATTTATAAATACTTCATATAGTATCATACCATTACGATTACTTGAACTGAAAATAGTGTAAAATATGTGTATATATTGATTGAAATTTTAAAATGCGTTAACCTGATATAAATTACTATATATGTGTGTGAAACTTGGTTACCGTGGTAGTATGTAATTCCATATAAGTTTGTTTATTAGATGTACCATGCAGTGAAACAGTATTATTTACTGGATGACAAGGTTTCGAATAAAATTTATTGTGGTTCATAATCATATCGCCAATTATAATCACATGATTTCGAAGCTTGAGTTCTATAGTTTCCTTCTATTTGTCGTTGTAGGCGCGGTAGTAGAATTTTCCAGATGCCCGACTGGAAAGGTGTTGAATCATTCCTATTACACTTATTCACACTCAGTTGATTCGATCAATAAAGCTTCCGTTACCACTCCCTCTCTCCCCATCCTGTTATATATTAGATTTTAAAACTGTCATCTTATCCAATCATCATCCTATTGTATGGTTGCGCATAAATGCATGTAGTGCTATCTACGGCTCAACTATTCTCTAGATTTCCTATCTTCGGGTCAAGTATTCTAGAGTTCGGCGATTTTTTTTACTCCGCTAGTCTAATTGACTCCGTTTTACTGCTTTGAGCTATGTATTTGACCTGACAGTCATTGCAATCAGGGTATTAGATAAGCTAACTTGTTTTGTGTAATTGGCTGTTCCACAGGATCCTTTAACCGACAAAGCTTGTTTCTAAATGAGTTTGTCTTGGGGTGGGGTGGGGTTGAATGACACTTTTGTTGCTGCATTGTTATGAATTCTCCGCAAGATGGTTTCCCAAGTTCCTTCCTTGTATGGAATTACTACTGATGATTAAAATCCCTTATTGTTGGTGTTGACTTGAGCATATTTGGAATGCATGTCGTCATTAATATAATAATAATAATTATTAATATTATTACTATGAATATCTCTACTATCATTATTTATTTTATTTTTACATTTACTTACATATTTCCTGACTAATTTATCCCGGGAATTATTAAGTTTCAAGGCTTATTTTATGTGTATCATTTCTTGTCTTGGATTTTCCTTGATACTACATAGTTTTTGTGCTCTGTCATTTCAACATTTCACCAATCCTATTCTTACTGACATAGGATGGGATGATCGAAAGTCCAAATCATGAGCTGACATCAGTTAGAGAACCACCAGAAAACCTGAGAGTACTGGATAGCTGTTTCCGCTGTCCTAGTTTGGGACTCTGCATCAGTACGCATCCACCGATTGGGGTCCAAACCCAGGACCTTCTGGTTACAAGGCGAGCTCGTATACCATTGAGCCACTGGGACCCGATCCAATGGCCGATGAATTCTAACTTCTACCAATTCACGACGTAGTGCGACCATTTGGCAATGTCTTCTTCGATGAGTTACTGCCTCATCTTCAACCTGCT